ATAAGGATCTCACAGACTTTCCTGCCCAGAATAGCTTTGAACCGCGATCCTCAGATCTCAGCCTCCTGAGTAGCTAGGATGACAGGCGTAAGCCATCGGTACCAAGCCTTTGTTTTGCTCTGTGTGTGTGTGTGTGTGTGTGTGTGTGTGTGTGTGTGTATGTGTGTGTGTCCTAGGGCTTGAACTCTGGGCCTGGGCGCTGTCCTTCACCTCTTCAGCTCAAGGCGAGCACTCTACCACTGGATCCACAGCACTACTTTCGGCTTTTACTGTGTATGTGGTGCTGAGGAATCGAACCCAGGGCCTCATGCATGCGAGGCGAGCACTCTACCACCGAGCCACCTTCCCAGCCCCTTGTTTTGCTTTTTAATCTAACTTTTTAAATGGTATTATAAAGGTGATGGATAGGGCTGGGATGTAGCTCAGTGGCAAAGCGCTTGCCTAGCAAGTGCAGCGTCCTGGGTTCGATCCCCAGTACCAAAAAAGAAAAAAGACATAAAGGTGATGGATAGTGGGGTTGCAGTTAAGTAAGTTTTAATCCAATTTTATTTTTATTGTCTTGTATCTCCTTCCTTGTCTCTTTTTTCCCTCCTGTCCTCCCTTTCCTCCCTCCCTCCCTCCTTTCCTCCTCCTCCAGCTCCTCCTCCTCCTCCTGTCGGTCATGCAGCTTGAACTCCAGGCTGGGCGCTCAAGGCTAGCACGCTACCATTAGAGCCACAGCTACACTTCTGGTTTTCTGGTGGTTCATTGGAGATAAGAGTCTCATGGGGATTTTCCTGCTTGTGCTGGCTTTGAACCCTGATCCTCAGATTTCAGCCCCTTGTATAGTTAGGATGACAGGCGTGAGTCACAGGCACTTGGTCTTCGTGTCTTCTTTCCCTCTCTTCCTCCCCCCTCTCTCTTCTCTTTCCTATCTTCTTCTTCTTCTTTGCCAGTCATGGGGCCTGAATTCTGGATCTGGGCACTGTCCCTCAGCTCTTCAGCTCAAGGCTTGTACTCTACCACTCGAGCCACAGCACCACTTCCAGCTTTTTCTGCTTATGTGGTGTTGAAGAATCGAACCCAGGGTCTTATGAATGCAAACCAAGCACTCTACCACTGAGCCACCTTCCCAGCCCTCTTTCCTGTCTCCTTTAATCTCGTTTTCTTTCCTTCCTTTCTATCCAAGAACTAAGCAGAAGTGGGGGGGACTGTCACCCAACTAGAATCTTCACATACCCTGCTGCGGCGCTAGGGGGAGCCGCGAGCCCACAACTGGCCTGGGCCGTCCACCCTGAGTCCAGCCAAATCCAGACCCAGCTCCGCAGCAGACCACGAGGGCTCCAAGCTAGACTCAGGGTCTTTATCTGGAAGAAATAGGGAAGTTATGGTGTTTCCATGCAATGAAAGCACAGAACGGAAAGTCAGTAAACACACAGCTTTGGTGCCAATATTGGAGCTTGAACTCAGACCCTGGGTGCTCTCCTTAGCTGTTTTTTTGTTCTGTTTTGTTTTTTGCTTAAGGCTGGTGCTCTACCACTTGGGTCACAGCTCCATTTCCAACTTTTTGCTGGAGATAAGAGTCATATGGATTTCTCTGTCCAGGCCGGCTTTGAACTGCAATCCTCAGATCTCAGCCTCCTGAGTAGCTAGGATTACAGGTGTGAGCCACCAGTGCCCAGCTTCACATATTCTGGTGGTTAATTGGAGATAAGAGTCTCATGGGGACTTTTCTGCTTGTGCTGACTTTGAACCATGATCCTCAGTCTCAGCCTACTCAGTAGCTAGAAGTCTGGCTGGCTACCTTGGCTAATATGAACAGTGCTTCAGTATTTTTAGTTTTTATCTTTTTGGAGGTACTGGGATTTGAACTCTGAACACTTGAGCTATACTCCCAATCCTTTTCATGCTCTATCCTTTATATACAGTCCTATAAATACTCTTTTTTTCCCCCCAGAGCTGAGGACCGAAGTCAGAGCCTTGCATTTGGCAGGCAAGTGCTCTTCCACTGGGCTAAATTCCTAACCCCCTAATACATGGCTAAGCGCTGGTGGCTCACACCTGTTATCCTTGATATTCAAGACACTGAGATCTGAGGATCACAGTTCAAAGCCAGCTTGGAGAAAGAAAGTCCGGGAGACTCTCTTTTTTGTTGTTGTTGTTGGTTGTGGGGCCTGAACTCTAGGCCTGGGTGCTGTCCCTCAGCTCTTCAGCTCAAGGCTAGTGCTCTACCCCTTGAGCCACAGTGCCACTTCCAGCTTTTTTCTGCTTATGTGGTACTGAGGGCCTCGTGTATGCAAGGCATGCACTCTACCACTGAGCCACCTTCCCAGCCCTGTGAGAATCTTATCTCCAATGAACCACCAGAAAATGGGAAGCGGTGCTGTGGCTCAAAGTGGTAGAGCACTCCTCTTGAGCTGAAAATGTCAAGGACAATGCCCAGGCTCTGAGTTCAAGCCCCACACCTGGCAAAACCAAAAAAAATCCCTCACACTCTGTCCTGGAAGCTTGATCCTCCCATCCTAGCCTCTAAAATAGCTGGGATTACAGGCACATGCTGGTACATCCGACTAACTAAGATATGTCTTTCATATACTGGTTTCATTTCCTTTGGTTATATGCCTATGCCCAGGAGCGGTATGGCTGAATCATATGGTCGTTCTATTCTTAGCTTTTTGAGGAACTTCCATACTGTTTTCCATAATAGCCGTATGAATGTGTGTTCTTCGCATGCGTCAGTTCCTCCTTCTTCCTCTACATCTCCCTAGCACATTCATTGCTTTTTCACCTTTTGCTTATAACTAGTCTAAATTGAGCCAGAGGATGCATTAGTGTGGTTTTGATTTGCATCTCCCTGATGATGAACAATGCTGAGTATTTTTCATATTCTTGTGATCCTTTCACTTTGCTATTTTAACAGCTTTTTTTTTTGGCCAATCATGGGGCTTGAACCCAGGACCTGGGTGCTGTCTCTGAGCTTTTGTGCTCAAGGCTAGCGATCTACCACTTTGAACCACACCCCCATTCCTGGTTTGCTAGTGGGTTATTAGAGATAAAAAAAATCTCACCGACTTTGCTGCCTGTGCTGACTTGGAATCGTGATCCTCAGATCTCAGCCTCCTGAGTAGCTAGGATTACAGCCATGAGCCACGAGCACCCGATTTAACAACTCTATTTTCTGTGTGTATCGGTCCTTGGATTTGAATTTAGGGCCTGGGCACTATCCCTGAGCTTTTCTACTCAAGGCTGGAGTTCTCCAACTTGACCCACAGCTCTACTTCAGTTTTTTTTTTTTTTTC